CCCTTCCGGTTGTGGAGTAGGGGGCGCGGCCCCGCGCCGGGACGATGCTGCAGGCGGCTCCGTGGGGCCGCAGCTCCCTGGTGCGGGCGGCGCACGCGGGGCTCAGCTGCGGCGTCACCCTCGCGCTCTTTCTGCACCGCACAGGTGAGAGCCGGGCCCCTGGGCTCCCCGCCGCCCTGCCACTGGTCCGTGGTCAGGGGCGTTCGCTACATGGCAGCCCGCAGGCTGCTCCTCTTACAGCCCCGCGGCCTGGCGGCACGTCAGCATCGCAGCTTTCGCTTAAAAAAAGAAGCGTCAATAGGCGGAGGCTCAGACCCCGGAAGTAAGAGATTAACAACAAAATCGATGGGGCCAGAGTCGCGACTTTTGAGCACTCGAGGTTGGGTGGCAGTGCTCCGTTAGTTCGCTACATGGCAGCCCGCAGGCTGCTCCTCTTACAGCCCCGCGGCCTGGCGGCACGTCAGCATCGCAGCTTTCGCTTAAAAAAAGAAGCGTCAATAGGCGGAGGCTCAGACCCCGGAAGTAAGAGATTAACAACAAAATCGATGGGGCCAGAGTCGCGACTTTTGAGCACTCGAGGTTGGGTGGCAGTGCTCCGTTATTATCGGCCAGGAACAATTACCTGTAATTGGGGAGGTGGGAAAGGAGGAGACTGCTGTATCCCCACCCCATGCAGCTAGATCCCTGTCCTACCTGAATAGAGGGGAAACCTCACTGTCATCGCTTGGAGAGCGGAGGAGAGGGGTGAAAGGTATTTGACACAGAAGAAGCTCTGGTGCCTACTTCCAGAAGTTTAGCATCTCAACTAGTCACCCTGGATAATGGAAAAACTATAAACCAAATGATGCCGTGATGGCCACTTCTGAAATGCAGCTATCATAATATTCCTAAAATAGTTAGTTAGAGCACACTAAAAAACTCTAATAATGGGGGATTTTAATTATCCCCATATTGACTGGGTACATGTCACCTCAGGAAGAGAAGCAGAGAGAAAATTTCTCAATGGCTTAAATGACTGCTTCTTGGAGCAGCTGGTACAGGAACCCACAAGGGGAGAGGCAATTCTCGATTTAGTCCTGAGTGGAGCGCAGGATCAGGTCCCAGACCAGGAGATAACCATTACAGGACCGCTTGGGAGTAGTGGCCATAATATAATAATATTTAACATTCCTGTGGTGGGAAGACGACTTCAGTAGTCCAGCACTCTGGCATTTAATTTCAAAAAAGGGAATTACACAAAAATGAGGAGGTTAGTTAAATAGAAATTAAAAGGCACAGTGACTAGAGCCAAATCCATGCAAGCTGCATGGAAACTTTTTAAAGATACCATAATAGAGGCCCAACTTAAATGTATACCCCAAATTAAAAAACATAGTAAGAGACCTAAAAAAGAGTCGTCATGGCTTAACCACCATGTAAAAGAAGCATTGAGGGACAAAAAGGCATCTTTCAAGAAGTGGAAGTCCAGTCCTAGTGAGATAAATAGAAAGAAACATAAACACTGTCAAATCAAGTGTAAAAATGTAGTAAGAAAAGCAAAAAAAGATTTTGAGGAACAGTTAGCCAAAAACTCAAAAAGAAATAGCAAAATGTTTTTTAAGTACGTTAGAAGCAGGAAGCCTGCTAAAAAACCAGTGGGTCCCCTAGACGATCGAGCTATAAAAGGAGCAATCAAGGACAATAAAGCCATTGCGGAGAAACTAAATGATGTCTTTGCTTCAGTCTTCACGGCTGAGGATGTTAGTGAGATTCCTAAATCTGCACTGTCCTTTGTGGGTGATGAATATGAGGAGCTGTCCCGGATTGAAGTGTTATTAGAGGAGATTTTGGAACAAACAGAAAAACTTAACGTTAACAAATCACTGGGACCGGATGGCATTCATCCAAGGTTCTAAAAGAACTCAAATGGGAAATTGCTGAACTATTATCTGTGGTTTGTAACCTATCCTTTAAATCGGCTTCCGTGCCTAATGACCAGCTAACGTGACACCAATATTTAAAAAGGGCTCTAGAGGCGATCCTGGCAATTACAGACCGGTAAGT